GCCGAAACTTTTCAAAAAAATTGCAAAGATGCACAATTTACAGCATTGCATTCTCTGACATTTTTTGGAATTTACATGCTAAATTTTTTACTCAATGCAGTATTCTACGCGTAGACAAAAGAGTATTTATTTAGTATATTACAAAATAAAAAGCTTCTTTCCCATATTAATTGAAAGTATAATATTTTTAATAATCATTTTTCAAAAAAAAAAAAAAAAAAAAAAAAGAATATAATTTATACATTAAATATATTATTTCGATTTTAATCGGGAAGAATATATTTACTTAATAGAATAATAAAACAAGCCCAAAATTATTCCACAGTTAATTAGCTCGTTGATTAAAATCATTTATCGATTGTCAAGAAAAACAAATTAATATCAAAATGATATTATAATTAAAATCTAACACAATGATTTTATACAAAATATTTTAATTAATCAAATATCATTTATACATTATAATTAATTTTGTTTATTAAGAATATATAATTGTAATAAATAAAACAATTAATCAATATTAATTATCAATATAATGATCAATAATAAAAATCATTTGTAGATATAAGAAGAAAAAGAAAATTTAAAGGATTAACAATAATTTAAGGTTTAATGAAATGAATGAAAAGAAAAGAAAAGAAATCAGAGTTGCGTTGCAATCAGTCTTACGGATAGGTATTTCATATTTGTATAGGAGAAAAAAAAAATCAAATAGTGATACGTGCAAATGAAAATCGAAAAAGAAATTTCAAAGTGGTATTATGCGTGGGAGGTGAAAACAAAACAAAAAATTGGAAATATAATCTTTTCAAAAGGAAAAAACTGAAATGCGAACGAATGTATCTGCTCTCTTTGAAAATGAATCCTTTTGGCTTGCTCTTTTTTTCTTTTCTTTTTTTTTTTTTTTCTTTTTCGTTCGTTTTTTCTTTGACTTCTTTCGAACAACAGCAACAACTGGGATATAATTGTTAATTCGATCGATAAAAAATGTATTTTGTCATTTTTTTCTATTCATTAAAATTTTCAAGATTATCTCTTCCTCGTTTAGAGTTTCTAGGACGAGCTTAATAAAATAAAAAAAAAGACGTGACAAAGCATCTCTGTGCAAATATGAGAAACAACACGTGAAACAAGTGTTCCGACATAGTTTCCTTTGATCATTTTTGAATCATCCTTCTTTCTTGTTATCTACAAAGACCACGTTCGTTCGATGGATTTAGTATAACCATGTATATGTGTAGGTAGGTGGGTGTGTATATATATATATATATATATATATATATATATATATATACATATATACGTATTTATCTCTGGTATATATAATCATATTTCGAGCAGACGAGTAGAAGATAAATTTAGTTCGTAACTGAATAAATATATGCTAATAGATTTAATCGTTTATATAAATTCACATTTAATTACAATTACTATTAATTATAAAAAATAGCTATCAGGGTTTCTGCAAAATTAATATAACATTTACATATTCCAATTTTAAATAGATAAAATATTTTCTTATAATTATATCATTCAATTAAATATAACAAATATTTTTTTTACACACAATTACAAAACGTAATTGTGCATTTTTTGTTTTCAATCTTTCATTATTTGCCATCGAAAAATTCGCATACTCACGAATAGTATCTTGAGTTTGCTATTTACGTGTAATATACACATGATACGTGTAATATATATTTTGAAATTCCAATGGGAGTACGCATATGTTATCAACTTTAAAGTTTCAAAATTTATCGCATGATCTTATATACGAAGGATTTTAAATATTTAATAATCTTGGTAAGTGCTTCTCCCCGAAAAAACCAATAATCCACACCTCAATATATTCTCTAATCCATTTATCTGAAATATGTACACGTTTAAACATTTACATATTCGATTTACTACTTTAACATTTTATTACGATAGTTACCTTATATTTTCTCTTTAACGATGACGATTGTTATTTAAAAATTATCCCATTTATTAAAATTTACCTTTCATATTCTTTATATAATTTAATAATGATTAACAATACTTAATATTATCATTATTGAATTAATAAACACGAGTTATCGTTGACAAAACGATTGTATCAAAATAATCGGTAGCCATTATCTAGTTTAAAATAACACGATTATAACTTTCTCATGCCGATAATATCTTTATCGAGTTTTGTTTTTTTTCTGCTATGATAAAAATGTACGTAATATCTTTTTACAGACAAGTTTATAATTCTTTGAAAATTCCTAAGCCGATAAAGATAACGATCATAAATCACAAAAATAAATATATAGTCTCGTTTATCACAATATTTAAACAATATAATAATTGTCGCGTACGCCAATTGAAAAAAATAAAACCTAAATTTTCTTAATAAGTAATCAATTGAATGTGCTAAACAAATATTCCAATCATAATTACAATAGACATCGGATATTACAATTAATGAGAATATCCTATTCCACTTTGAATTTCCCACACATATATTATATTATTACCACACAACTAGAATACTACTAAAATCATTAGCCCATTCATGGTTATAGCTAAATTTAACATAACAAACATAGAATATATTTCGGATAAATCTAATAATATGTT